TAGCCAGGATGGTCTCGATCTCCTGACCTCGTGATCCGCCCGTCTCGGCCTCCCAAAGTGCTGGGATTACAGGCTTGAGCCACAGCGCCCGGCCTCCAAGAACAACTTTTGGGGAGGAGTGGCAGCACACTGAGGTGGCAAGTAACAAGAAGGTGGAGGCTGTGAGGACAGATGGCTTCAAGAGTTTGACTGGAGGGGAGGAAGGGGAGACTAGAGGGACTTGGGGTGTTGGGAGGTATCTAAAGGCAAGTGGCTTGTAAGTGCTTAATTGCTGGAAAGTAGGGGGAAGGAGCTTGGAAAGGGAACAGTAGCAGATGTGAAGGGGACTGCAGGGCAGTGTGAGCCTCTTGGAAGCCTATTGGCAATCACAAGAGGGTGGCAACAGTGCCCCCAAGTGAGGGCACTGAAGAGCAAGTCCAAGGTGAAGTGGGACAAGGAGAATTGAGGCCTTCAAGTCAGGGTCTGTGCAGTCTGTAACCAGTCTTGGCACCACCATTTCTGTGCAGGCCGACTGAATCCAGCTGACAGTCCCTGAAAAGGGCGAAGGCTCTCTTCTCTGGTCATGGGGAAGGGTCTACCCATAGATTTCTGAGAAGGCCAGATGTGAGGTAGGCCAGGGAGTTAATAGGTAATGCCCCCAAACAGCTCTCAACCCATGACTAATGGAGATTTGAGAATGAGTACCTCAGCTCCCCTTGCTCTTGGGGGCAGCAATAATGTAAGGCCTATGTTCTATGCTGGCTCCCAGAATCCCCAGCAGGATTTGGTCCCAATTGCCCACAGTGGTAGCTTGCTTGATGACACTTCCTTTATTGGCTGCTTTCCTTGTCTCCTTGCCACTGCTGGTGTTTCTTGGCCTCACCTCCCATACTACCTGTATGCATGTATATCTTTGTCCAGGTCTACTTTGGGGGAACTAAGATAAGCACTGTCCATGAAAGGGGGACAAGGCAGTGAGCAGACACAGACAGCTGCAAGGACTTCTTCCCACAGGTACCACTGACCTGTACAAATGGGCCCCCAGCTTGAAGACTTAGCTAATACTCTGAATGCTCAGAAGATAGGCAGGGCCAAGGTCTGGGCCTGATATAGGTGGGCCCCTGTCACACCAGTTTGCTCTTGCTTGACCCCAGAGTTGGTTAGAGGCAAGCCCAGGATCCTAAACATGTATAGTAGCCCAGGTCTCTCAGGCCCTACAGGATAAGGCCAGAGTGACCCACTTGGGAGGTCCCCTGGTCTCTGACTCTTCCAGCACATCCTCTGCTCAGTATCACTCCCTCCAGGAATTCTCCCCACCCAGGTTTGTAGAAGGGTCGGTACTTTCTGTTCCTCCACCCCCGCTAGCCTCAGTGTACACTGTAAGACCTATTCCTGCTTTATGCCCAGGTAAGGGCGACCCAGGCTGCCCCCACATGACAGAGGCCCAGGCCATGTCCCCAGTGGCCTCCAGGGGGCGCCGCCGGGAAGCCTGTCATTGGGCTCCTGGGAGCTCAGCGGAGGTGGGCAGGCGCCGGCCCCCCAAGCCCTCGGGTTCGGCTGGCGTGCCCTACACAGCCTGCGCACCCAGGCTGGGTAGGGCTCAGAACTGCCCCTTGCCATACACGTGTTGTGTCGCTCGCCGCTGCCTCATTTCTACTCCTGCCCGAGGTCGGACGCTAAATTCTGTCAGGCCCAATGTCCACGTGTCCGTTTATCTGTCCGTTTGCGTGTGACCGTGGATCGGCACGCCCTGCTCCAGCCGCGGCATGTGCAGGGTTAAGGCGGGCGGAGGTTTCTCTGAGTCGCAGGGGGAGGGGGGCGAGGGGCGGACCTGGCCCAGCCCCGCCCCGCGCCGGAGCAGTGCCGGAGCCCCACCAGAGCCCGACTTCAGCCCCAGCCAGATCCAGCGTCAGCGGAGGCCGAACGGCGGACGCCTTGCCCTAGCTGCATCGGAGCACCGGCGGGTGAGTCCCGCGGGAACCGCGCTCAGGGGAAGTTTGGGGCGCGGGGTGTAGCACCCCAAGCGCGTTAGCCCAGACCCGCCCCCCACATCCTTGAACTGGAAGTTTGGGGCCAGGAGGCCCTCCTGCCAGGGGTCCAGGAGTGTAGCCCCCAAGAGAAAGGGGTGGCTGGAGAACTTGGGGATTTGCTGCGAGGGAACCCAGAAGTCCAGCTGCCCATTCCTGCTGGAAACGCCCTGAACTCGGACCCTGGAGTCCTGTGGTCATGAGATTACCCCAACGGCCCCCCCATCCCACTTCTGGACACCAGGAAATCTGGCTTCTGGGGGGTTTGGAAAGGGCAAACTCCTGTGGGGGACCTCCAGAGGAGAGTGTGGAACCCTGGTGTGCAGTCCTTCCCCTAGTCAGAAACACAGCCTGACTCTGGCCTTTTACTGGTGGGAATAGTTTAACCCTGTGGAATGGCCCCCAGGATGTTGTAAGGATACTCTGGAGTCTGACCCCTGACAGTAGGCGTGGGGACCCCTAGGCTGCCCAGGGCACTCTGGAAGCCAGTAAGGGGAGAATATAGTAGGACTCCCCTCATGCAGGACCAGTGTGAGGCTTGTTGAGGGGAATGGAAGGGTCCTGGATGGAGAGTCCTGTTCTAATGACCTTACTACCGCCCGCCTAGACCCAGATTTGACCCAGTTGCTGAGTGGTTAGGGTAGTGGGTGGGAAGCAGAATCCTTCATGCCCCAGTGGGAAAGGGGAAAAGCTCCTGGGTACCTGGGGTCTACCCTCCTTCCCACTCCAGGAGGGCCTCCACAGTGATGTACTAGCCAGAGGGGCTGGGTTCTCCCCCTGCCTTTCCCACCAGTGATTTTGGGCTAGCCCTGCCCTCAGCTATGGGCTGCTTATCTGTTTCCTGAGGGGATGGTCAGTGGCCCTGACCCCTGTTTTCCCTGTTTCCTCCAGGTGAAGGCAAGGTCCCTGGACTGGTCATATACCTCTTGTGGCCCTGGCAGAATCAAGATGAGGCCCTGTCATGCCTCCCCAGTGAGGCCTACAGTCTGAGCAGACAGCATGGCCTGCCATTGGCAGTGAACACCATGTCTGCAGGAGGTGGCCGGGCCTTTGCTTGGCAGGTGTTCCCCCCCATGCCCACTTGCCGGGTCTATGGCACAGTGGCACACCAAGATGGGCACCTGCTGGTGTTGGGGGGTTGTGGCCGGGCTGGACTGCCCTTGGACACTGCTGAGACACTGGACATGGCCTCGCACACATGGCTGGCACTGGCACCCCTGCCCACTGCCCGGGCTGGAGCAGCTGCGGTAGTTCTGGGCAAGCAGGTGCTAGTAGTGGGTGGTGTGGATGAGGTCCAGAGCCCAGTAGCTGCTGTAGAGGCCTTCCTGATGGATGAGGGCCGCTGGGAGCGTCGGGCCACCCTCCCTCAAGCAGCCATGGGGGTTGCAACTGTGGAGAGAGGTGAGTGGCGTCCCAAGGAAGGCGCTTCAGGTACCCTAACACCTTTTATTATTTCCTGACTTAGTCCCTTACCCTCAGAGACTAAACAAGAGCTGTAATTTTTACATGGGTGCCCAGGATGTGGCCTCATCCCCTGTATCCTTTCCAGCCTAGCTTTGAGCTAGGCTTTCAGCAGCCTTCTATTAACTGCCTTTTCTGGCTAAGGTGGAAGGCAGAGCCCAAGCCAATCCCAGGATGATGGGAGACCCTAGCCATGTTCTTGCCCCACTCCTCATTTCTAAGAGATGGGGGTGGGATGGCCTAATGACTCCCAGGGTTATAAATAGTCTGGGATTGGGGAGAGGAGTAGGGCCTCCGCTCAGAGCCTGTGCTTAGACTTCCTGCCCCACCCCCAACCCTTCCCACACACCAGAGAGCCTGATATGGACAAAGGCCAAATGACCTGGGATGGTTCCCATGGAAGCCCCCAGCTGACTGGCCCATTACCCCAAGGCCCCCAGACATATCATAGCTGACTCTGAGGGTTTAACAGAGGGTAAGAGCCTACTCTAATGAAAGAGTGTCACACACAGGTGCTGGCAGGGATCCTGGGGCAGAAGGCTTGTGGACAGTATCTTTACCCAGCAGACCCAAGCCATTCCTCTCCCAGCCCCATCTCCAACTCCAGCTGGTCCCCAATCCCCCTCCCCAGACTGAACTCTGTGCTAAGCAGATCGATCCCCATGTTTCTCACCCCGGCTTAAGCCATCCCCCCATATTCCTCCCCGAGGGGAGTCCCCACCTTCTGGCCTCCAGGTCTGACCACCAGCCCAGGCCAGCCCTGCTTGGATGCCAGACTCTGTTGCCATAGCATCTCCAGGGAGACAGAGTCGGATTATAATTAGATCAGCTGCCTCCTGCTCTTTACTCAGAGGGGCCCTGGCCAGAGTAGGAATCCCAGCTCTCCCAGCCCCCACTGCAGGCAGGTAGTAGAGTGTCTGTTCCTGGCGAGGGATGCCATAAACACATGGGTCTCCAGCCACCCCCAGGCCTTACCAGGGCAGCTGTCAGGGTGGGGTACCCTGGCAGGCTGGGGTACAATCTGAACTACTCTTTTCTATGCAGATGGTATGGTGTATGCTCTGGGGGGAATGGGCCCTGACACGGCCCCCCAGGCCCAGGTATGTGTGTATGAGCCCCGTCGGGACTGCTGGCTTTCACTACCCTCCATGCCCACACCCTGCTATGGGGCCTCCACCTTCCTGCATGGGAACAAGATCTATGTCCTGGGTAAGGGCCTGGGGGATGTGGGAAAGGGGCTCAGAGTTTAGAAATCCTCATCCTCATAGGTTGGCTGGGATAGGGATCGGGCTCAGTCCAGGATGGCAGAACAAAATAAGCTTTGTTGGGGTGATCCATGCCTGCTCTGAGGCTCTGACCCCTGGTGGTCTTGCTGTGGTTGGAAAACCAAACCCCAGTATCTGAGGGACTGTAGGGTGGATGATTCATGTGCAAGTGTGCACACAGCAGGATGTGGGAGGCTGAGGCAGGCAGATCAGCAACCTAGTGAGTAAGGAGCACACCAAGCCTCCTGGGCTCCTTCCCAGGTACCCCAATTCCATTGACAGGGGGCCGCCAGGGCAAGCTCCCGGTGACTGCTTTTGAAGCCTTTGATCTGGAGGCCCGTACATGGACCCGGCATCCAAGCCTACCCAGCCGTCGAGCCTTTGCTGGCTGCGCCATGGCTGAAGGCAGCGTCTTTAGCCTGGGTGGCCTGCAGCAGCCTGGGCCCCACAACTTCTACTCTCGCCCACACTTTGTCAACACTGTGGAGATGTTTGACCTGGAGCATGGTGAGCAGTGGCTGTCCTGGGCTGTCCTGCCACTCTCTGTGGGATGGAGGGGCATAGTGCATACGTCACTAGATCTGACCTCCCCTCTCCTGCAGGGTCCTGGACCAAACTGCCCCGCAGCCTGCGCATGAGGGATAAGAGGGCAGACTTTGTGGTTGGGTCCCTTGGGGGCCACATTGTGGCCATTGGGGGCCTTGGTAAGTCTCTGTGGGGCTGGGGAGAGGAGGGAGTCCCAAGACAGGCAAGAGTAGCCCCCAGCATGTGTGCCACCTTCTGCCCATCTCCAGGCACTCCAGGGGTCAGGGCTTTGTGAGCTCTTTTCCCTATCTGTGAAGCAGGCAGGATGTGGTCTCCCTGGCCCAGCACTCAGGGTGTTCCTCAGTGACTGGGGGCTCTGTCAAGCACCAGCAAGAGTCTACGAGACAGCAGCAGGAGAAATGACCACTGTATGCACAGTCAAGAGGACATATAGAAACATGAATGAATGAACAAATGATGAACACAGGCAATGAAGAGCAAGGCACTGATAGCTCATCCTGGGGTGATACCTACTGGGCTATTCTCTGGGCTCAGGGAGCAGAAGGGCCTGGAGTCCCTACAGCCTGTGCCTCTCACAGCCTTCTCTCTCCTTCTTGCAGGAAACCAGCCATGTCCTTTGGGCTCTGTGGAGAGCTTTAGCCTTGCAAGGAGGCGCTGGGAGGCATTGCCAGCCATGCCCACTGCCCGCTGCTCCTGCTCTAGTCTGCAGGCTGGGCCCCGGCTGTTTGTTATTGGGGGTGTGGCCCAGGGCCCCAGTCAAGCCGTGGAGGCACTATGTCTGCGTGATGGGGTCTGAAGGCCTGGTGGGAGCTGTCCACTGGAGCAGCTCATTGCCAGAGGCAGCTATTTCTATGGCTCCTTTTGCTGCTGAGGACACTCACTGTGGCTCTGTGGGATGAGAGAGGCACAGGGGTGAGCACTTGAGACACTGCCTTGGGGCCTTGGGTTAGGGGAGCCTTTGCCTTTAGTGCAGGACACACATATGCTTACACCTACCTTTATCACCATTCTTTCATGAATCATGCCTAGGTCCATCCTTGCCCTGGGACCTACTAGGCCTTCCATCCAACTGGGAAATGGGGAGAAGGAAAGCTGGCCTCATGTTCTTCAGGGTCAGTTCCTATCTGGAGTTGACCAGGCCCACCCCAGTTGCCATTCCTGAAAAATCCCAGATGCCAGGCTGCCTTTAGGGTCCCTGTAGACCCAGGAGAGTTGAGAGGGTGGGGGACACAGAGAGAATAGAGAGGATGTGGGACCTGCCAGAGGGCCAGAGCACAGGAGTTCAAGCAGAGGAATGCTGGCTTTGGGCCCTCTACACTGCTGGTTGTATGACCTTGGACAAGTCACTTCACCTCTCTGTGCCTCAGCATCCTCATCTATAAATGGGGATCTCTGAAACCTTCCTACCCTACCTACCTCACAGGGCTGTTGTGAGGACCCAGGGAGTTTGGATGTGGAAGTAAAAGTGCTGCTAAAACCTAGTGTGTGGACCCTGGTGTGAACTCCCTTGTTGCTTCCACTGCCCCTGCCTTCCTTTGGGGGTCTCAATGCTCCTAGGGATGAGGGTCCAGAAGGAGCCTCTTGGATCTGGTGGGTGTTCCCAAAGTGATTTGGTATTTCTGTTCCATCTAAGCCAGAGCTTATTCTTTGGCAACATGTGATGACAGCACCTCCTTACTGTCATGGGGATTAGAGAGCACTAGGACAGTAAGGAAGGGCTGTCACATGTCACCAAAGGATGGCGGGATAGGATGACCAGAGAAGTGCTCAGAAAACAACAACAAAATACCACAGGGTTAGGAAGACCTCCAGATCCAAGTTACAGAGTGTCTCCTTAGGGTCTCTGCTCACCCCCACAGGGAGGGGTGGTTCAGTGGGTTTTGTGGCCCAGGGCAGTCTTCTGCCTCAGCTGTGGGGCAGCCGTCTCTTGGACAGGACTGTGTGGCCATCCAACAAACCCCTCGAAGGCAGCTGCCTCCTGAGAAAGCTGCTAACTCTTCCTTCCTCCAGCCTTTGTTGCCTGCTAGTACAGGTCTCTGGGGTCTGCTTTCCCCATAGCTACACTGAATACTTGGCCTGCTTTCCCAGTGATGCCTTTCATTCTAGGGTGAAGCACCTAGAAAGTCAGCAGCCCACAGGATATTTGCACATTGTCTGGCAAGCTGGCAGAGGAGACCAACACAGAGACGTCTCTGTTTGGGGGAATAGGCTGTTTCCCAGAAGAGAGAGGTGGTGGGGAAGATAGTCACTCTGCTGCCTTCATAAGGAGCCCTCCCTCAGTGTCACCCCCTCCACCCTACCACCTGCTCTGTCCTGACTTAAACTTAGGCTGGGGACTGCCCTCTAATCTTCCTCTCTACAGCTGGGTTTGCCACAAGAACAGAGTAGTATTTGGGACCCTGGAACCCACCTGCTGTGGCTATGGCAACCCTCCTGGACTCTTAGCCTCCCCTTTCTCACTTAGTGGCAGGGATCCCAGAGCAGCACCTCCCATGCCCAGCACACAAACACCATGGGCACAAGTGCCATGGAAGACAGGCACAGGACCTGGCAGCCCATTACTACCTTTCATCCTCTTGGGCTGCATCCCATTGTGGGCTGCAAGCACAGAGAGGCTGCTGTGTCAGCTGTCCTTGTTTAATGCTCTGGACCAGTTTAGACACTCAGAGACCCCAGCATGAAGGTAGTGCTGCAGCAGCTTGGGTCTTGGGATCACTGGGAGGTCAGGCAGTATGTCTGTGACTGGCGCCTGGGGCCCTACCTTGTAACTGCCACAGTGGCCACCCCGGGATGGGTAGCAGAAGTTCTGCTGGTAGGTGGTCCTGGCATGGGAAGGCTGGACCTGCACAAAGTGGACGAGGCGCTGGGGGAGGCCACTGAGTCCTGGGCCTGGTCGGAAATCAGCCTGGTAAGAAGATTCCAGGGGCCCTTGCTGGCGCAACTCTATCTCACAGGGTGCCCAGCGCAGGAAGGTGTGCCGCTGCCACAGGCGCTCCAGGTCCTTCCGCCTTCCAATTCCCTGCAGCAGGCAGTAGGGGCCCTCCTCAACGGTACGGGCCATTGGCCCATATTCCTGGCACCAAGCACCTTCTTGGACCCCTCCTAACCCCAAGTCTGCTTGGTGATGCCTGTCCTAGGCCGGGCTGTCTTGGCCTGTACCCTGGCCTCCTTGGCCTGTCTCCCCAGTGATGTCTTTCATTCTAAGGTGAAGCACCCAGAAAGTTAGTGGCCCACAGGATACTTGCACATTGTCTGGCAAGCTGGCAGAGGAAACCAACATAGAGATGTCTCTGTTTGGGGGAATAGGCTGTTTCCCAGAGGAAAAAGTTTGTGGGGGAAGATAGCCACTCCTCTGCCTTCATAAGGAGCCCTCCCTCAGTGTCATCCCCTCCACCCTACCACCTGCTCTGTCCAGACTTCAACTTAGGCTGGGGGACTGCTTGCCATTCTTCCTCTCTTCGGCACTCACTTTGTCAAAGGAAGTACGGTTGTCATGCTTGGAGAAGAAGTGTTGCTGCGCCGGCTCCTTGAAAGATAGTGAGAAAGAAAGTGAATAGGAAAATGATGCTTATTTACCTGCCCTTACCTGGATCACTGCCTCAGGGTCCCTAATGGAGGGAAGTCGCCAGGAGCCACTGCCCCTAAGCTGCTAAACTGCCAACAGACAGAGGACAGAGACTAATTAAAGCAACACTTCAGTCCTGGGATATCTCAACCTGGGACTTTCCCTGAAGCAGAAGACCATGGAACCCTTATTGAGGAGGGTCCTCGATAAGGAGGCATCTGCCAGGACATCCTCCCATCAGGGGAGCAGTGGCTGAGTTTCAAGCTAGGCCTTAACTCTGATTGCCCAGCACTTGAGTCCTCTCCTCCCCTGCATCCACACTTACTCCCCCATCAACATACCCAGACTCTTGGCCCTAAATGCCATCTGAAAACTGGAATTTCTATCTCCGGCTCAAATTTTCTCCTGAACTCTGGGCTCAGTAGACAACTGCCTACTCCACATCTCCATGTAAATGCCCAATTGGGCATCTCCAAACATATGACTGAGCTTTGGGTCGTCCCAGACACACTCCACCTACAGCCTCCCCCAGCTCAGACTACGGCAGCCAGATCCTGTCAAACACCTTGAGTCCCCTAGATTCTCTTCTCTCATACCCCACATTGAATGTGCCAGTATCCTGTTGATACTGTGGTCAAAATGTGCCCAGGACCAGACCACGTCTCAGCATGCCCACTGTTTTCCCCGATCCAAGCCACATTCCTCTCTTGCCTGAATTTTTTTTTTTTGAGACAGAGTCTCGCTCTGTCCCCCAGGCTGGAATGCAGTGGCACGATCTTGGCTCACTGCAAGCTCCGTCTCCTGGGTTCAGGCCATTCTCCCGCCTTAGCCTCCCGAGTAGCTGGGACTACAGGCGCCTGCCACCGCGCCTGGCTAATTTTTTGTATTTTTAGTAGAGACGGGGTTTCACCGTGGTCTCGATCTCCTGACCTTGTGATCCACCCGGCTCGGCCTCCCAAAGTGCTAGGATTACAGGCGTGAGGCACCGCGCCCGGCCTCTTGCCTGAATTATTGCAAGAGCTTCCTGCCTGGTGTCCCTGCTTTCAAACTTGCCCCTCCGGTCTGTTGTCCACTTTGCAGCCAGCATAATTCTGTTAGTACATAAATGAGAGCACATCTCATTTGCTGAAAATTCACAACAGTTCCTCCTATTTGTGGTAGCCAAAGTCATCATAGTGGTCTGTGAGACCCACACGATATTGGTCCTTCTGTTACCTCCAGCCACACTGATTTCCCCACTGCTACTCAGACATACCAGGTGCTCCCACTTAGGGCTTTGCACCACCTGTTCCTTCTCCTGGCCAGATAATTCCCTCACACCTCCCTCTTCCTTCCTTGAGCACTAGGCCAATGGTTCCATCACTCTAACCGTGCATTTTTCACCTGCTAACATACTATATTATTCTATATGATGTTCCCCCCACCGATGAGAACATCGCATGCCCCGCCATTAGAACATAAGCTTCTTGTGGGCAAAGGTAGTCTGTCTTGCTCATATCTATAACTCCAGCACTGCTCAATAAATGTTGCTGTTAAATCAATAAACAGGCTGGGCACGGTGGCTCACACCTGTAATCCCAGCACTTTGGGAGGCCGAGGCAGGTGAATCACCTGAGGTCAGAAGTTTGAGACCGGCCTGGCCAACATACTGAAACCCCGTTTCTACTAAAAATACAAAAATTAGGCTGGGTGTGGTGGCTTACGCCTGTAATCCCAGCACTTCGGGAGGCTGAGGCGGGCAGATCACTTGAGGTCGGAGTTCAAGACCGACCTGGCCAACATGGTGAAACCCCGTCTCTACTAAAACACACAAAAAAATTAGCTGGGTGTGGTGATGTCTGGCTGTAATCCCAGCTACTCAGGAGGCTGAAGCGGGATAATTGTTTAAACCTGGGAGACAGAGGTTGCAGCGAGCCGAGATCGTGCCATTGCACTCCAGCCTGGGCGACAGGAAAAAAAAAAAATTAATGAACAGGGACAGAAGGTTCTGGCCCAAGGGAATTTACTTTGGCTCAGTTGGAGCTAGAGCCTTGCTCCACTCCCAGGCAGAGAAAGACCATCTTTTAGGCCTGCAGGCTTCAGCAGGAATCTGTCCCAAGACCACCTTCTTGCCTTTGTGACTGGCTTCTGTCCTCAAAGCCATACCCAGCCACTCAGTTTCTCCTGCTGTAGACCTGAAGTGGCCAGATCTGGTGAGGTCAGGCTTGGCTGGCTTGGGAGTATAGGTAATGGCTGACAGCAGGTCCCCAGATAAAATCCATTCTAGGCCGGGCGCGGTGGCTCAAGCCTGTAATCCCAGCACTTTGGGAGGCCGAGACGGGCGGATCACGAGGTCAGGAGATCGAGACCATCCTGGCTAACACAGTGAAACCCCATCTCTACTAAAAAAATACAAAAAACTAGCCGGGCGAGGTGGCGGGCGCCTGTAGTCCCAGCTACTCGGGAGGCTGAGGCAGGAGAATGGCCTAAACCTGGGAGGCGGAGCTTGCAGTGAGCTGAGATCCGGCCACTGCACTCCAGCCTGGGTGACAGAGCGAGACTCTGTCTCAAAAAAAAAAAAAAAAGAGATCAAGAGTGCAATGAGCCATGATCGTGCCACTGCAAACCAAGCTACAGACTGGGAGAAAATATTTATAAACCATATATCCAACAGAGGACTAGAAAATATAAGGAACCCTCTCAACTCAACAGTAAAATCACAGTCTAATTAGAAAATTGGCAAACATGAAGACATCTAACCAAAGAAGATATACAGATGACAAATAACACATGAAAAGATATTTATCATTAAACATCAGGGAAATGCAAATTAAAACCACAACAAAATATCACTACACATCTATCAGAATGGCTCCAGTTGAAAATAGAGACAACACCAGGTATTGGTGAGAATGCAGAGAAACCAGATCATTCATGCATTGCTGGTGGGAATATAAAATGATAAAGCCACTCTCGAAAATAGTTTGGCAGTTTCTTTTAAAAACTAAACATGTGGGCCGGGCGCGGTGGCTCAAGCCTGTAATCCCAGCACTTTGGGAGGCCGAGGCGGGCGGATCATGAGGTCAGGAGATCGAGACCATCCTGGCTAACACGGTGAAACCCCGTCTCTACTAAAAAAAATACAAAAAATTAGCCGGGCGTGGTAGCGGGCGCCTGTGGTCCCAGCTACTCGGGAGGCTGAGGCAGGAGAATGGCGGGAACCCAGGAGGTAGAGCTTGCAGTGAGTTGAGATCCGGCCACTGTACTCCAGCCTGGGCCACAGAGCAAGACTCCGTCTCAAAAAAAAAAAAAAAAAAAAACACTAAACATGTGGAGTAGTCCAGGTCGAAAATGGCGGCAGTTGGTGTGTCCTGGGTTTCTTGGCTGCTGGGTCAGTCCGGCCCACAGCTGGGGTGGCCTATGTTGAGTGGTGCCCATGGTGAAGAGGAATCAGCTCGCATGTGGAAGACCCTCACCTTCTTCGTCGCGCTCCCCGGGGTGGCAGTCAGCATGCTGAATGTGTACCTGAAGTCACACCACGGAGAGCACGAGAGACCCGAGTTCATCGCCTACCCTCATCTCCGCATCAGGACCAAGCCGTTTCCCTGGGGAGATGGTAACCATACTCTATTCCATAACCCTCATGAGAATCCACTTCCAACTGGCTACCAAGATGAATAAAGAGAATCTGGACCACTACCTGGGCACCAGGGACCACAGCACTGGTTTGGACCATTACTCTGCACATGGATCAGAAAAAGTATACGGGACCTTAAGCTCATCTTCTTGTATCAAATGACGACTGGTATACTGGTCTTCCATCCCTTTGCTTGTGGCAGGAGATGGCTTAAATAAATAACTTACACTTAAAAACAAACAAACAAACAAACAGACAAAAACTAAACATGTGGCTGGGAGTGGTGGCTCATGCCTGTAATCCCAGCACTTTGGGAGGCCGAGGTAGGTGAATCACGAGGTCAGGAGTTCAAGACCAGCCTGGCCAAGATGGTGAAACCCCGTCTCCACTAAAAAATACAGAAAAAAAAAAAATTAGCCAGGCGTGGTGGCAGCCTCCTGTAATCCCAGCTACTCGGGAGGCTGAGGCAGGAGAATTGCTTGAACCTGGGAGGCGGAGATTGCAGTGAGCCAAGATGGTGCCACTGCACTACAGCCTGGGTTACAGAGTGAGACAACATCTCAAAAAACAAACAAAACAACAACAACAAAAAAAATACTAAACATGCAGCCAGCCTCGGTGGCTCATATTTGTAATTCCAGCATTTTGGTGGGCTGAGGTGGGTGGATTACCTGAGGTCAGGAGTTCAAGACCAGCCTCGCCAACATGGTGAAACCCTGTCTCTACTAAAAATACAAAAATTAGCCAGGCATGGTGGCTCACACCTGTAATCCTAGCTATTCAGGAGGCTGAGGCAGGAGAACTGCTTGAGCCCGGGAGGCGGAGGTTGCAGTGAGCTGCGATTGTGCCATTGCACTCCAGCCTGGCCGACAGAGCGAGACTCTGTCTCAAAACAAAATAAAACAAAACAAAACAAAACAATACCACTAAACATGCAACTACTACGTGACCCAGCAATTGTATTCCTGGGCATTTATCCCAGGAGACAAAAACTTATGTTCAACCAAAAATTTATACACAAATATTCTTTTTTTTTTTTTGAGACGGAGTCTTGCTCTGTCGCCCAGGCTGGAGTGCAGTGGCCGGATCTCAGCTCACTGCAAGCTCCGCCTCCCGGGTTCACGCCATTCTCCGGCCTCAGCCTCCCGAGTAGCTGGGACTACAGGCGCCCGCCACCTCGCCCGGCTAGTTTTTTGTATTTCTTAATAGAGACGGGGTTTCACCGTGTTAGCCAGGATGGTCTCGATCTCCTGACCTCGTGATCCGCCCGTCTCGGCCTCCCAAAGTGCTGGGATTACAGGCTTGAGCCACCGCGCCCGGCCTACACAAATATTCTTAAAAGCTT